CTGCTGGGCCCGGTGGCTTACGCCTGTAATCCCAACAATTTGGGAGGCCAAGGCAGGCGGATCACTTAAGGTCAGGAGTTTGTGACCAGCCTGGCCAATATGGTGAAACCTCGTGTCTACTAAAAATACAAAAATTAGCCAGGTGTGGTGGTGCGCACCTGTAATCCCAGCTACTCAGGAGGCTGAGGTAGGAGAATCGCTTGAACCCGGGAGGCAGAGGCAGTGATCTGAGATCATGCCACCACACTCCAGCCTGGGTGACAGAGCGAGACTCCATCTCAAAGAAAAAAAAAAATACACACACACACACATATACACACATATATGTATATATGTATTGTATATAATGTGTATATATAATACGTATTGTATATAATTGTATATATAATCGTGTTTATGTGTGTATATATAATACGTATTGTATATAATGTGTATATATAATATGTATTGTATATAATGTGTATATATAATACGTATTGTATATAATGTGTATATACCATCGTATTGTTATATAATGTGTATATATAATACGTATTGTATATAATGTGTATATATGATTTTTTTCTATTGATTACGTGTAGAAATGTTCATATTTGAAATACACTGAGCTATATAAAATATCAAAATTTACCCTGTTTCTTTTTTCTTTCTTTCTTTCTTTTAAAGATGGAGTCTTGCTCTGTCACCCAGGCTGGAGAGCAATGCCGTGATCTCGGCTCACTGCAACCCCAGCCTCCTGGGTTCAAGTGATTCTCCTGCCTCAGCCTTCCAAGTAGCTGGGATTGCAGCCATCCACCACTATGCCTGGCTAATTTTTGTATTTTATTTTATTTTATTATTATTTTTTTTGAGACGGAGTCTCGCTCTGTCGCCCAGACTGGAGTTCAGTGGCGCCATCTCGGCTCACTGCAAGTTCTGCCTCCTGGGTTCACGCCATTCTCCTGCCTCAGCCTCCTGAGAAGGTGGGACCACAGGCACCCGCCACCACACCTGGCTAATTTTTTGTATTTTTAGTAGAGACAAAGTTTCACCGTGTTAGCCAGGATGGTCTCGATCTCCTGACCCTGTGATCTGCCTGCCTCGGCCTCCGAAAGTGCTGGGCCACCGTGCCTGGCCCTCTTTTTACTTTTTTAATGTGGCTACCAGGACATTTACAATTACATATGTGGCTCACATTATATTGGACAACACCAAATCATACTCTGTCCTTCTCTCTTTGCTTTATACCCAAGGACGCTGAGAACTCCAAGAGAAGTCTCAGTGTCCCTGGGTGTGAAGCAGAATGGGATTTGATGAGGATCCAATAGGACTGTAACCATGAAGGCCATGCCCAGTGGTGGGCATAGCAGAGGCGCCCAGGAGCAATTATGACTGGGTGGTAAGTGTCCACCACCCACACCCTTCTCCTACCAACACCAACTCATTCGTTTGTTCATACATTCATTCATTCAGGAAATATCCATTAATCATATATTAGGAGCCAGAGACTATGGCACTGAGCAAGGATTGGGCACAGGGCACCTGGCATATGCCTTCCCCCACGTGTGGTCTGTATCACTAGGAGGCAGATGCGACACTAACAAAGAGGTGCTGTGAGCTCAGAGGCTGAGGGTGCTGAGCAGGGGCCTGGGGGAGGGCAGGCCACCTGGAGCAGTGGAATTTGAGTGGCACCATGGGGTCATTAAACTCTTCGGCTGTGGGGTCAGACTGACCTGGATCTGAATCCTAGGACTATAATAATAGCTTGTATGTACTTAGTTCTAAGTGCTAAGACCCCTGTGAAGTACTTTGTTTGTTTGTTTGTTTATGTATTTAGTTTTTGAGTGAGATCTTGCTCTGTTGCCCAGGCTGGAGTGCAGTGGTGCAATCAAGGCTCACTGCAGCCTTGACTTCCCCAGCTCAAGGGATCCTCCCATCTGCACCTCCCAAGCAGCTGGAACTACAGGTGCACGCCACTGCACTCGACTAATTTTTACTTTTTTCTTTTTGGTAGAGATGGGGTCTAACTTACTTTATGTTTATTTGAGTGTCTCTCCACCCTAAGCAAAAAGCATATTGTTTGTTAAAATTTCTAGGCTGGGCATGATGACTCATGCCTGTAATCCCAGCAGTTTGGGAGGCCAAGGTGGGCAGACTGCTTGAGCTCAGGAGTTTGAGAGCAGCCTGGGCAACATAGGGAGACCCCGTCTCTACAAAAAATAAAATAAAATTAGCCAGGCGTGGTGGCTCACACCTGTGGTCCCACTAGAGGTTGAGGTGGGAGATCACTTGAGCCCAGGAGTTCAAGGCTGCAGTGAGCAGTGATTGTGCCACTGTACTCCAGCCTGGGTCACAGAGCAAGAAAAATTGTCTCAAAAAAAATTTTTTTTAAGTGAGGAAACTGAGGCCCAAGGAGGTTAAGTAACTTGTCCAAGGTCACCAACTGAGGAAGGACGTGACCCCAAAGAATCTGACTTCAGAGTCTGCTCCATGTTTTGAAGGCTTGAAGAGGAGAATTTAATGAGCACTTACTATGTGCCGAGCACTTTTATGAAAACTTTATGAATAAGCTTTTATTTGTATAGTTTACATTTTTATTTGTATAACTCATTTCATTCCATGTCAGCCCTAGGAGGTGGGCGTCGTTATTTCCATTTTACAGGTAGAGAAACTGAGGCCCAGAGAGACTAAGTATCCTGAGGTCACACAGCCAGTGAAAGTGGCAGAACTAGGTGGAACTTAGGCCAAATACACCAGAGTTCATGCTTTTGGCCACTCCACTTTACTGCTGCCGCTCAATCAATGCACATTGTTATTATTATTATTTGACTGAGACTTTATGAGGTGGGAAGGGAAGAATGCCAGTCTAGGTGGGAAGAACAACGGGAGTGAAGTCTGGGGAGGAGGGGGTGGGAACGGGCACACTAGGGAAGGAAAGTGTAGGATTTCTTGAGTGGGTGTAAGACTGAAGGTCACAGCAGAGTGAAGTCTAGTGCCCAGGGAGGGCCAGAGTGGAGCCTAGATTCAAGAAATATGTTGGGGCCGGGCATGGTATCTCACGCCTGTAATCCCAGCACTTTGGGAAGCCGAGGTAGGTGGATCACCTGAGGTCAGGAGTTCGAGATCAGCCTGGCCAACATGGTGAAACCCCATCTCTACGAAAAATACAAAAATCAGCCGGGTATGGTGGCAGGTGCCTATAATCCCAGCTACTCAGGAGGCTGAGGCAGGAGAATCACTTGAATCCAGAGGTTGCAGTGAGCTGAGATCACACCATTGGGCAACAGAGCAAGTCTTCAAAGAAACAAAACAAAACAAAAAATATATTGGGAATTAAAGCTGTGGAAGGTCTTCCTCCACAGTAAGAAACTACCATGCTCTGGGCTCTCAAGAACCCCTATATTATGAGCTGGGTATGGTGACACATGCCGGTAGTCCTAGCTACTTAGAAGGCTTATTCAGAGCTACTTGGAAGGCTGAGGCAGGAGGATCTCTTGAGCCCAGGAGTTTGAGTCCAGCCTGGGCAATGTATCAAGACCCCTGCCTCTAACAACAACAACAAAAAGGATCCCTATTATGGGATTAGTTTGTTATGGATTCAGTTTGAGATGCTTGAAAATGAACCAGTAGTGGTCATAGCCAAACTGACCTGGCTCGGCTGGGTGGCCTTCAGAAAGTTACTTAACCTCTCTGTGCCTACATCTCCTTTTCTGTAAAGTGGAGGTAATAACAGGACCCTCTTCATGGGGTTGCTGTTTAATACTACTACCACTAATAATAAATATAAAGTCTCTGGCAGTGTTTGGCACAAAGCAGCCCTTTAATACATTTCCTTTCTCTCCCCTCCTCCACCTCTAGGAAGATCTCCCCAAACCCGCAGCCACACGAGAATCGAGGTTAAAATCAGCAATGGATCTAGTACCACCGAGGTCCCCGAGGACCCCAGGTCAGTAAGGCGAGGGAGGAAGAAGAGAGGGCAATGTCAAGCCATCCAGTTTCCAAATGTGTCTGAGACAGAAAAAGGAATAACTAGAACTTGTTTCCCTCTTCTTCCTGCTGTGTCAACTCCGAGTTACATAACTGAGCTTCTCTGTGAGGTGCCTCATAGGGGCCTCCAGGAGGCAGGGTTGGCAGTGACATAAATAAATATTTCTGTGCTCTCTGCCCCTGGGCTCAGGTTCTGAGCAAATACCACAGCCTGAGAGGGAGGCCATGACAAGGAGGAAGCTCTGGGCTGTGAGTTGCCCCGTGTTCCAGGCCCAGCCCTGCCTGGAAGGATGTGAACGGGTCACAGGCGGGTGCCTAATTAGGTGACGAGCGGTCACGGGAGTGTGACCTGGAAGGAGAGATTCCAGTACGGCCAGGGCATCGCGGAACCCTTGGTCGATTCTCTCTATGGATAGAATTGAGGCCACTCTCCTGCCCCACCTGGTATTCAATGCCCTTTACAATTCATTCCCCGTCACCTCTCTCCTGCCTCCTCTCCCGTCCCATCTGGGCACCCACATACTCCACACCGCAGCTCCTTGAGGCTATTGAGTTTTCCCCAAGATTTGTCCCCTCTCTGGGAATGTCCTCCACTTCTTGCCTCCTCCATGAACTAGAAAGGGGGTAGACAAAGATAAGGGCTTTAGAATTAAACGGGATTGAACTCCAGCTCAGTCGTGTCCCCTTGGGCTCACGACTTAGCCTCCACGCCTATTTCCTCAACCGTAAAGGAGGCTTTGCGACTCCTCTCTAGTTTTCTTGTGACACTCAAAGGAGATGATAATTGTTAATATTAAGTGTCAATCACTTAGCCTTACTGTATCGACCAGGCCTGTGTAAGGGTTTGGTGTGCCTAAGTCGCTTTAGCAGTGCACGTTAACCCCCTAGCAAAATGCCTGGGCCTAGTGGGTACTGATAATCTCAGCTCCTTTTTCTCCAAGACCTGCCCAAAACCTCTCCTCCTATCTCAAGGAGGTCAGGCTCCTCTGAGACTCTTCACAGTATCTCATAGGTACCTTAGTGATAGCACTTACCACATGAAAGTGTTGTTTTCCGTAGGGAGGTCCAGCTTCCTTTCTATTCTAGGTGCTCCCTGGGGGACAGACCTGCCTTAGTCATAGCCATCCTGCCAGCACCCAGCACAAGGCCTGCCATTTAGAAGGCACTTGAATGAATACACGCGTGAATGCGTGCGTGCATATAGGCTGCGTGGAAGAGATGGGCTTAGGCAGGTACCTGAGGATGGGTTGGTTCCGAACATACGCTTGACTCTCTGGGGTCCGGCTCCCTGAGCTCAGGGCCTGGGCCCTCTCAGCTCCATGCAGACTCAAGGGGCAAGTCACAGCCTCCTTTGTACTTTTACATTGGATATTGGGTATTTTTATAGTAAAAAAAAAAAAACAGGATATTTGTCCCGGCAAAGGGTTTTTGGGCCACGAGTCATCCAAGAGGGAATCTAGAAGCTATGGACTGGAGTTTCCAGGATTCAGGTTTATGAATCATAGACTCACCTCCACAGTGCCTGGTCTGGCATTGTACCCAGCATACAATAATTGTCTAATAAATGCTTAGTGGATTTGAGGCGGTGTGCTTTTTATGCCATTGTGGGGCTGGGATGTGTGACTGTGAAGGAATAGAAGCCTCCAGCCTCTTCCCTGGGGAGCCACCTGTTGAAGGAACTAGAATTACAGACCTTTGCTTTCTGCACGGTTTCTACATTGTTCCAATAGCAATGATCATTTCCAACTTGCTGCAGAATAAAGTTCTAATGATCTGTTGTGGGAATCAAGGTCTTCCATGAACTTGCCTCAGTCTTACCGCACCAGCCCCTGTCTCCTCTTCCCTTCCCCCGCCAGGCAGAAAGAGCAATTTCCTGTCTCCAAAACTCACCAGTGCTTCCCAGCTATGCAAATTGCAGTTTCCAAAGACAGTCTCATAATATCTCCCATTCCATATTCTCTCCTGCAGTGGGACCCGGCCACGGCCCACATCAAGAGGCGGAGTCCATTTCTCCACTCCCTTGAGTCTGGGTGGGCCCTGTGACTGCTTAGACCACTAGAATATGTCAGAAATGGCCAGGCACATGGCTCATACCTGTCATCCCAGCATTTGGGGAGGCTGAAGTGGGAGGATCACTTGAGCCCAGGAGTTAGAGACCAGCCTGGGAGCATTAGTTTGTTTTCTTACTGCTGTAAAGAACTGCCCAAGACTGGGTTATTTATAAAGGAACGAGGTTTAACTGCCTCGAAGTCCGGCACGGCTGCGAGGCCTCAGGAAACTTACAATCGTGGAGGAAGGAGAAGGGGAAGCAAGGTAACTTCTTCACAAGGTGGCAGGTAGGAGAAGTGCCAAGTGAAAGGGGAAGAGCCCCTTATAGAACTATCAGATCTCATGAGAACTCACTCACTATCATGAGAATAGCATGCAGGAAACCACCACAGTGATTCAATTACCTCCATCTTGTCTCTCCCTCGACAAGTGGGTATTAAGGGGATTACAATTCAAGATGAAATTTGGGTGGGGACACAAAGCCTAACCATATCACTGGGCAACAGAGTGAGACCCTGTCTCTACAAAAAAAAAAAAAAAAAAACACACACACACACACACACACAAATTAGCCAGGTGTGGTGGTGCGCACCTGTAGTCTCACCTACTCGAGAGGCTGGTGAAATTGAGAATATGAAAGACCAGGAACAAAAGCAGGGAGAAATAACAGATGCCATACAAAGGAACAAAAATCAGGTTGGCATTATACTTCTCAACAGCAATACCCGATAAAGGAAGTCAAAGAAGTGAGGTGGGTGGATTGATTGAACCAGGAGGTGGAGGCTGCAGTGAGCCATGATCACGCCACTGCACTCCAGCCTGGGTGACAGAGTGAGACTGTATCTCAAAACACACACACACACACACACACACATACACACAATCTTCTATCGCTTCTAAAAATGGAAAACCAGTGTCACTTGCCATTAATAGAAGGTAACAATGACATAAATTAGATGAAATAGATCAATGTCATTAAATTTTAGCTAGACAGTGTCACCTCCCAAACTGTCCAAGCCCAGGATTCACTCTCTCCTTGTTGAAAAGATGAACAAGTGTTGCAGTGACATTGGTACCCAGACTCTGGGTTCCAGTATCTGGGCAGTTACAGTGTATCAGCTTCCAGGTCACTGGATCCAGGATGTATGTGTCCTTGAATTCAACAGTTCCCTGTTAAGTTCAGTTTCAATCTCCAGGGCAGCCTTGAGATTCTTCCACTTTCCTAGCTATGGCAGATGCTGTAGCTCCCCAGTCTGGCCAGTTCTGCAGTATTTTGGGAGCCTCTAGCTTTTCCTATATTAAAAAAAAAAAAAACAAAAACAAAAAAACAAAAAACGAGGTGTATAAAATCCCCTCCTGCCTAAAATGCCAAGTATTGCACTGAAGCCTGACTTCCCACAGCTTTTGCAGGATCTCCTGAATATTTCTTTTATTATTTATTTCCTGCAAGAGTATTTTCAATGTGGGTCTTTGTGCATTCCACCTTCTGAGGCTTTATTTGCCTAAGAATATTTTTATTGTGACCTCATGTTTGAATGACAAATTGGCTGGCTTTAAAATTCTGGATTGAAAGAGTTCTTTTTTTAAAATTACTAGTGACATCACTTCTTTGACTTTCTTTATCGGGTATTGCTGTTGAGAAGTATAATGCCAATCCAATTCTTGTTCCTTTGTATGGCACCTGTTATTTCTTCCTGCTCTTCTTCCTGGTCTTTCATATTCTTAATCTCTCCATGATACCTATGTGTGAATTTTTCCTTATTCTTTTCTACTGTTGGTTACTCTATGAGCCCTTTCAATCTGCACTCATTTAAAAAAAATTTGGAACATTTAAATCTCCATTATTTCTTCAATTATTTATTTCCTCATCTCCACTTTTATTTTTCTTTCCTTTTGGGAATCATACGTCTACTCTCCATCTCTCTCAGCATTTTTTTTTTTTTTTTTGAGACAATCTCACTGTGTTGCCCAGGCTGGAGTGCAGTGGCGTGATTTCAGGTCACTGCAACCTCCAGTCTCCCGGGTTCAAGTGATCCTCCTCTTGCCTCAGCCTCCCGAGTAGCTGGGATTACAGGCATCCACCACTACACTCAGCTAATTTTTGTATTTTTAGTAGTGATGGGGTTTTACCATGTTGGCCAGGCTGGTCTCAAACTCCTGACCTCAAATGATCTACCTGCCTCGGCCTCCCAAAATGCTGGGATTACAGGCGTGAGCCACTGCGCCTGGCCTCTCTCAGCTTTTCTTTTCTATGTGTTGTCTCTGTTTCTTTCCCTGTTGCTTCTGGGGATAATTCTCAATCTGATCATCCTATCTACTCGCAAATTCTTCAGTTGTATCCATCCTGATATTCAGGCCATCTATTATGTCTTTTATTTTTTTAATCTTAAATTTTTCATAGCTAATGTTTTGGCTTGGTTCTCTCTTATGACTGCTTTTTTCCCTCTTCATTGCAGCAGTTTTTTAATGAAAACTGTATGTAAGATTACTTTATTCCTACATCTTCCCAATTGCATTTTCCTTGTATTTGGGCTTTTCTATTCCTACTTGGTGAGATTTAGCTTTCTGCTCAAGGATCTCAGTCTTCGTTCAGGGTTAAGCGCCCTGCTGGGGCGAATGGCCAGCCTTCTTCCCCTGCACATGTCCAATGCAGATAACATATTTCTTCCCATAAACTTGGACCACTTTGCTAATTTGCTGACCTCTGTAGTGTCCTTGTGCAAACTGAGCTTCTTCATGCTTTCAGATGGGCATGGACCGAACATTATATTTCTGTCTCAGCTCTTTGGAAAGAGGAGAAGACATAATCTTCCTGTAAATATGGGAAGCTGCATAACAATACTGCTTATGGTTCTTGTGAGAGTCACAAAGATTTCTTGACTTTCAGAAGTCCCTTAATTTCTGTTTTTGTTTGTTTGTTTTTGTTTTTGAGAAGAAGTTGCTTTGTTGTTGCCTAGGCTGGAGTACAATGGCGTGATCTGGGCTCACCACAACCTCCGCCTCCCGGTTCAAGCGATTCTCCTGCCTCAGCCTCCCGAAGTAGCTGGGATTACAGGCATGCACCACCATGCCCGGCTAATTTTGTATTTTTAGTAGAGACAGGGTTTCCCCATGTTGGTCAGGCTGGTCTTGAACTCCTGACCTCAGGTGATCTGCCCACCTCAGCCTCCCAAATTGCTGGGACTACAGGCCACCATGCCCGGCCAAGTCACTGAATTTCATTTTGGCCACTGTTGCTTTCTCAGTGATAGCTGAGAAAGGGAAGTGCCTGTGACTTCTTGTTCTTACATTATTTCATGAATTTCTTCCTTTATCTCTTTAAGTATAATCATGCTTTACTTTAAAATCTTGGTCCATCTGCTTCAATAATTCTGCTCTGAATGGCATATGTGGTTTGATTTATCTTTCTTTTGTAGTAGCTGTACTTCTCAAGTGTCTAATTATTCCAGCAGGTGAGTTCATGTCCCCCCAGGGATGCCAGCTCTCTGTCTGGTAATGTGCCCTGGAGAAAGGGCATAAGGAGGGGGAAGGGATGAGCCCCCGGGCAGGAAGCCATGCAAGCATCCTTGGCTTTTCTGCCTGGCACTCTGCCAGCTTCACCTTTAAGTTCCCAGAGAAAAGCAGTCTTGGAGGCAGACTCTGCTTGGGAGATTCTCCCAGCTGGGGGTGGGGATGGGACTTCAGGGGTATTAGTGGGGAAGTCAACGCCTGATCCCCTGCCTGTTTTTATAATTCCTCACTCCAGCAGGGCTGTAGCTGCCAATATCTGCACCAAAGTGACAGGCAGTGATTGTTTCAAGACAAAGAGCAGGGGACCCGAAGCAGGTGAGCTTCTCTGAAGGACAGAGCAGTGGGTGGAAAGGGCAAGAGTTCAGGCTCTGGGGTCTGTCAAGCATTCGTTCATTCCACATTGAAAGCTGGTATGTGGCGGGCATTGTGTTGGGTGATAGGGAGACAGTGGGGAACCGGGCACAGTCCTCACCCTCAGGGAGGTTACAGTCTGACAACAAACTAACAGACGTGGATCCATGTTGGCACTGCCAGCTGGGCAACTCACTTAGTCTTTCCAAGCCTCAGTTTCTTCATCTGCAAGATGGAGATGATAATAGCACCAATGTATCGGGTTCCTAAGGCTTATCAGGAGACAAGGCTGCAAAGTGATTCGTAGAATGCCTGGCACGTTGAAGGCTCTCAAAAATGTTAATTATTTTTGTCCTTATTGTGACTAATGACGCTGTTACTGGGAATGAGGAACTTGGAGCTGTTTAGAAAAAAGATAAATGAATTGCTTTTCATCCTCTGGGCAAACCAGTTACCC